TCTCTCTCTCTCTCTCTCTCTCTCTCTCTCTCTCTCTCTCTCTCTCTCTTTTCTTGTCCTTCTTCTTTCTGAAAGAGGTGTCATCTAATAAAAGAAGGGGGGGCGATAAAAAGGTGATTTTAGCAGAATTAAGCACTGGTGTCCTGTAAGAGGCAGAACATTAGCTGCAGAAACTTTGGAGGTAGAAATTTCCCTCTGAATTCCAAGAAGCCTCTTTCCAGGAAACCAAAAGGAACCAATGCAGAGGAGGAAAGAGGGACCGAGTCCAAATTTGGTGGAAAATGAGGGGGAGAGATAAACCAGATTATGTAGATTTTGATGGATGACTCAATGGAGAAAATAAAGATCTATGCTCAATGAGTAGGAGTGATTGCCTAGCAGGAAGGCTTTCTGGAAATGGACTGTACCTTCATACCCATCAGGTAGCCATATCAAGGGCAGCTTTGACTTCACTTATCTCAGTTCTTCATGAGCCCTCATCTTCCACAGCACTTGGGCCAGTCTTCCCCCAAGCCAGGACTGCTGGTCACAGTTGTGTAGGCTGCTCACTGAACGAGGTTCTAGGTGGAAGACACAGTAGACACTGAAACAGCCTGTCCTGAGCTTGCCAAGCTCTGAGGGCTGACACACGGTGGAGTGCACACAGAACAAGTGCCATTTTCTAATTTTCACAAAGGTACTCTTCAGGCTATCAGCGCTCTATCACCTGCCGAATGCCCTGTTCTTTCTCCTCTCCTGCCTCCTCCTCTTCTCTTCACCACAGGGGCCATGGCAGAGAGTTGTGCTTGTGAGTGTCCACAGTTACCGTGTAGGCCGGACTCCCCTCCCCCTCCTGTCCTTTCACGGCTCTGCCCTCTGTCTCCCTCCTCCCTGTCCACAGCCTCTGACACAGTGACTGCACTTCCTCAGAGAAACCAGACTGAGGCTGAAGGAGAACAATTACTACAAATGTGTTTCTACCAATCGCAGAAAGAAGAAAACAGACCCAGAGAGAACACAGCCCAAACCTCAAGCTCAAAGGACAGCCCTTGAGGTACCTGAGGATCAACCAGTCAAAACCACAGGAGGGCTCTGCCCTCCCCACAGCTGGCACGGAGCAGGCTTGGCGGGCTTCCAGAGGGCACACCTGCTGCCGCCAGGTTCCCGCCAAGTCCTTCCTCCAGGAGGGGCCCCCAGCTCATTGTAGCTTCCTTCACCCTCGGCCTTTGGAGGAGCCAACTTTGAGAGTGTGGGAAACGTAAGCATCACTCCCCCCAAGGCCAGCGAGGCTGACCTTCCTGCAGTAGATACCCTCCCCACAGGGAATGGGCTCCTGTCACCATGGCCCCTCTCTGCACCTCATGGTGGGTCTGCTCCTTCTACTCTGCTGCCTAAGAGGACAGGCTGAGGTGCAGAGCTCCATCTGGAACTCCAGGAAGGAGCAGCAAACCTCTACCTTAGTGCTCTTAGGGTCCCAGCTGAACCCTGGAGTTGGATTGACATAAGTCAGTATGGGGCACACTGCGTTGAACAAAGAGTACTAAGTTGTGAGGCAGCAACTAAATGACATGGGAAGGCCTAAAAGGTGACATAACAGGGACTTAGACGAGTTGCCTTTGCTCAAAGCCCTGACTCCTAGGCCTGCAGATGCCTGGCGGGTGACTGAAAGCAGGATAAAGCCTGGCATCTCTGCCTTCATTTTGAATTTGTCTTCAGGTCCTGTCAGCTGTGCACCTGGGCCATTTAGCCATTTAAGGAATGTTTACTGAAGAACCGTAAAAGGTTTATTAGCCCTAAATTTATCTAACCGTTAGGTAAATCATGAACACTGAGGAAAGATCTAGAGCATACTTTTTCAGACCCCTGGAGTGGTGTCCAGAAGTCTTCATTCATTGTCCTACACCTTCCAGAACCAGCAGGAGCAACTGAAACCGAGCTGTGAGATAAAACTGGATTTCCCACTTCTGCTGGTTGATGGGGTTTGGGCAGCTGCAGGCCTCACCAACTTCCTTCTGGGTTCTTGTCTCGCAAATGTGAAGAATAAAATTCGCGGACAATAACGAAAGGGAAGAGGAGTGAACAGAGTAAGATCTTTTGGAGAAGAGACAGAACTCCCACCACTTGGGAGGAGACTGATAGTGTTACAGGGCTGGGGACTTTCGGGAAATTGAGGCAGTGTGAAGAACCCCCCCAATTCTTGCAATCAAGTCAGAAAGATTTCACACGTGTCACTCAGAGCAACAGGCATGAGTTTACTGAAAAGGAAAAGGGGTCACTCTGCAGAGAGAGAACGGGTCCTCTCAGAGAAGAGAAGGACAGTGTGCTTCTCCTGCACTCCAGTTTTATTGGGGATCCCAGAGAAGTTTTCAGAGGGTCTCACCAAGGTCTACTTCTTGACTTTGACTGATAGCAGGGTGACATCAGACTTTTAAGTGCCCCAAAATTCTAGGCCCATGCTGACCAGTTCTAATTGGATTCTTAACCGTACATTCTTACAGAGTTTATGGTTAGGAGGAATTATCCTTATCTCCCTGAGTCCCAGGAGCTGGTCTGTGAAAAGGATCACAAAAGTCCCCCCTCCAGGGTACCTTGGGTTCGTCTGATTAACATTATTTGAGGCCTGCATTTCTCCTGCTGATAACAGGTAGTTTGCTGAGGAATTTGGCATATCCTGTCCACTTAAGACAGGCAGGGCTGCAGGTAAATTGCTTCTTGAAAAAGAAATCATGTGAGGGTTAGCATAGTGGGCCTGTTATTTAAAATGATTCCCTTAACCTCCTGTTCTGTTCCGACCACTTACATTTGTCTGTCCCCATCACAAGCATGTCGTGGGAACGGAATTGCCACCTTGCAGGATCACAGGTCTAATAGATAACATTCTGCATCTTGGGAAAGCCCCCTCAAGATAAGCTCAAGATAAGGACTTCTTAAGCCACCTCACAGAACCAGACCACAGTATGACCAAGACTGCTGACTTGGCAGCCATCTCCCCCCTGCCCTGCTTCTCCCTCTGTTTAAACCTAAAGCTTCTGTCAACAGTGCAAGCTAGGGGGATGCTGAACCTCACGCTGACTTCCCATATTGATTAAATTTTCCTTTCCTGCTTGGTCTTTGGGATGAGTGGTTGGACCTGGTTTGTTGGGTCCATGGGAGTCTGGTCTTGGGCTCTGGTAACAAGAGAATTACTTAAACAAGACTTAAATGGAATTCTCTATTTCAACTTCTTGACCTTGAGAACAAGGATGTTGCGTCTATCGATTGGGAA